ATCTATATCTTTATTCTAGATTGATGATCTTCTAATGATCGGACCCCAATGGATCCAGATTTTGTATATACGACGAAATCGCTCGTTTGTTTTACGAATTCATTCGTTGTTTTCTGCATCGACATAGATTCGTCGCATTCAGCCATGAAAACTCTGTTAGTTTTCTCACTTATTGACCACATTAGATTGGATCGTCTTTAATTGGTTAAAACTCAGCCCTTTTAACATGCTGGCCCAGCTTTTTTTTTGAAAATCAAGTACACTCAGGTCTTTTTTTACACGGGGGATACGGTCCGTGTAAAAAAAAACCGTGTAAAAAAAAACCTACGAGATTTTGATTTTTCGCATGCTTAAATGTTTTTAAAAAATCGGATTTTGATGCCATTTGTAATTAAAGCATGATATGGTCCATATAGACATATTTTAAAAATTTCTGTATTTACACCAAAAATTGTGATTTTTTTTTAAGTATGCCATTCGATTACAAATAGCTTGAAACGGATAATGTGATTGGAATCAAGTCGATAGGTTGTATCGTTGTCGAGAAATCGTTAAAAACGTACCGTGTAAATCGTGGAAAACCGTGTAAAAAAACCGTGTAAAAAAAAAACCGCGTAAAAAAAAACCGTGTAAAAAAAGACTTCAGTGTATGACAGGATGAAACGTTTTTACACCCACACAGAATTTAATTGCAATCTGAGGATTTGACATGAAACTGTTAAGATTTTTTGCAGACATAACAAATTACAAGGTACAGTCCTATAGTGATGTACGCAATTGTGACGTAGAACTACGTGGTCTTATATAATAAATGATATTTGTTAACTGCATCAAGAGCTTTTATTTTGTGTAGGAATATGAATTTGAGCGGGTTTTTCTCTATTTATACTCTTTATTATGACTATGATTGCCCTGAAAAGAACCTTTTGATATGAATTGTAGTAGGAACTTCTTCAGCAATTTGACTCTTTTGGAAAATCTTGGTGGCCCTGAAAAGGGCCGATGGTAGTACAGGCTTAAAGTCTTTGGAAGATGATGATGTCGTGTAGGCAGCTGGATCATCAAATCGGACAATCCTATATTCTTCGGTTCAATGCTTGGGCACTCGCAAGTGTCTCGGCCCGTCTGCTGTTGGACAGGAGTTGAACTGGTGTCTGCGACAGGTCGAAGGACCGCAGAATAGCAGTGTCCACCCAGCTAAAGCTCCTTCCTTTTTTAGTTTGTCTCGTTGAACTCCTTCTCTCAACAAGTTGGTAAATCTTAGCCTTTAGCAGATAGACGCTTAACACTTTTTTCGGTGAATTTATGATCCTGTTTCACGCCATGGTTCTTCTCTATGCATGTTCAGATAAATTAATACTTTTTATTTCTCTACTGCGCTAAATCAAACGAGTAGAACTAAGAAGGAATTTCATCGAATAGCTGGAAAAATCTATGGGATTAATCGTTAAACGAATTATTGGACTTTAAGGCATCCCTAGAAAATAGTGTAATTTGATGTTTTTGGTGGTGCTTCGAAAATTTCGAACAGCAGAATTGCAACCAGCAAGTGTAGCCCAAGAAAAGCGGTTCAATGATAGTATTCATTGCTGTGACGACGATTGAATTAAGAGGCTTAGAAGCAGAGATGTGAAAGGCAATTCTCTTCATCGATTTCCTCTTTTAATGACCATGGCTTCCTTGGGGACGTGTGGTTCTGAATAAGGCGATGAGTGTGCAAAATGTTACGCAATTGCATCCTCCCTATTCGCACACGCCCGAAGATCGGAAGCAAATGCCACTTCGACTTGTTTCGTCTACTAACGACTCTCTGCTGACAGTGTTGGGAAAGCTGCAATGCTACATCAACATGTTTCGTCTAGAAACGATTCTCTGATGACTGTATTGGGGAAGTAGGATATACGTGTACGTAATTGGTGGATTTGTTAGTTATTTCGATGCTTTTGGGCAATGCTTGACATTTACCCCTTTTCCAATAGTTTCTTGATGTAAAACAACAGTCAGTATTATTGCTATCAATTTGAAGAAATATTTCTGATCAATTGGTGATAAAATTATTGAAATTGGTCCAAGAGCATTAATAATTTCGTCACATGTTCTATTTTCGGTTTTCACAAAGTGTATCCCCATATAGATATCACAGACGTAGTCCTACGTCAAAATTTTTCTATTGGAAAAACTTTTTTTTTCCTAAAAGTGCGCATCTTGCGATGTATCGACGACTTTTTTTTTCCTTTGGTTTGTTTTTTCCGTAGATCTTGTTTTCCGTGCTGAGCACCAATGCTACCGACGTGCCAGGAAGGCAGCTCCCACACCTGGACCCTACCTATCGACCCATCGACTCATGAACCGGGGACCAACGGCTTTACTTCCCATCCGAAGGAAGGCGTGATCAGAGATGTTATGCCTCAGAACATCCCGGCGGCGCCGACTGGGATTGAACCCAGGCCTGTTGGGGTGAGAGATAATCACGCTTACCACTACACCATCGGCGCCGTTAATATTGACGACTTGTAGGTTATGATATAGGTTTTTAATAAAATTTATTATTTATTTATTTTTTATTCAAAACTAAAAAAAAATGAAAAATGCAAATTTTTTAATTATTGAAAACTTGATACATAAAAATTGTAAAAATTATAGTACTACAACTTATATTATTTTTTCAATTGTAAGTTAGTGACCTTTTTTTGTAGATTTTGCACGGAAGACAATATTTGAGCTAGGAATTATGAAAAAAAAAGAATACCGTCTAAAACTCCATCCGCAAACAACGGTACCTCTCTGTACTTGAATTTTACGAATACCGGAAGCCTTGCTCTTTTTTTCTCATACAGACACATTACCGGTGGCTTATAAAGCAATGCGAATTATTTTCAATATAGAATCGATCATTCCAATCGAATGAACACTAGGTTATGAATATATAGAACACAAATCAAAAACTAATCGCTTTTATTTCCATGACGAAACCATTTTTTTTTCAAAAAACAATTTTCAACAATGTCGACACGTGCCTCTGGAAACATCTGGATCTGAGCCAGCACCACCGTCAACTTAGTCAAACAAACGAAAATCCGTCGCACAGCCTTACAGAACAATAATGTTTGATAAACTGGAAGTGGAACTTTTCAGTGGAACTTTTCACTCGAGTTTTGGGTGTGCTTGTTCCGCTTCCGAGATGGAAAAGTTCAAGAGACTTATGTGCTTGTTGTTCGGCTTGTTCTACCTCAATGGATTCCATGGATTTTCTTTCATTTAAAGTTTGCACCAAGATCAAATTCAGAAGTTATAACCCTTAAGTGAAAAGTAATCCACTTTCTTTGTAAGTTTCCGATGCCGGTAAATAAGATTATTCCTAATGCAATTTTTAGTGTGTCTGTGTTCTCATTGAGGGAAGTCGAAACAAAGCGTTTTTCGTATGAAAGATTTTATGAAAACAGGCTTGGCTTCATAATGGTGGATTTAAGCTGAAAGTCTTCTTTTCGGCTCAGATTTACAATGCATTGCATCCTTTCGCTTCCTTATTTTTCAACATTCCGGAGGATTTTTCCCACCATCATTCGTTTTGCCTTGTGACTAACATAAAAGAATTGCTTGTGCATCAACAACCTTCATTAACACCCCGTAATAATGGGACCTTCATTACAAGCGCGTGCCCCCAGACCCGGGGGAAAGTTGTTCTTTGTTGGATTTCCTTTGGTATGGTAGGAGAAAGCTGAATTTACATCACAAGTGACTGTTATGTCCGGCGATAAGAGTTTTAATGATGGCTTTTAGGATGGAACTAAATAGGGTATACGTCCCTAACCTCGGTCTAATATGCAGCCATCGATTACGTTTTTAATCATAACTCATCAATGAATTTACCTGCAAACGATATTCTACTGCTAAATGGTATGCTTAGATATGCTTATCATGTCGTTTGCTATCAGAAACCACGAAAAGTTGAAAAACTTACTTTTTTTAAGACAATAACTCACGAGGGAAATGTATGTAATATGGGTCTATTGTCCCCAAATTGGGTCTATTTATGGATGCAACTTCGTCCTATCTTGTTTGATCCTCAAAAAAACGCTCTTGGTAACGTTTTCTGATGTATTTTTTTTTATCACTATCACTGTTAACTTAATGCTCTCCATTCCTCAAAACATTTCTTAGAGAAAATTTTACGAAAACTACATTAAATCACTCAATTTAAAAATTAAAAATTAAAAATTTCGCTTATCGTCTTTTGACCGCAGAATATCTAAATCAGAACATTGTGATGTTCATTATACAGGTTTGGCAGAAAAAATCTCCCTTCCTGTTCGTTCCTTATCATCCAAATGCAAAACAACATTGTTGACGTTACTCTTATTGCTATATGCTGTCAAATGAATTTCATGGGCCATAGTTAGGAACATAGAAAAGAAATGTGTCCCTAAAGTTGGGTCCATGTTTTACTTGTGAAAACGTTGTTAAACAATTAAAATAAACATAAAATATTCAAACAGCAACTGTAAGTTTTACGTCTAGTGTGTATTATCAGGTAATTCCAATCAATAAATGCCATAATCAGGCCATTTGATGATCGTCAGTCAACCTTCCCATCTTAACCTTATAAGTCATGGCGGCTAAAAACTCCGAACATTGTGATATTCTCAACCAGTTTTATTACTTACGAGAGCTGAAAATGTATTGAAATGTTGTGATATAAATTGATTTGTGTGTGGTACACATTTATCAACCATCAGTGATCAATATTTTCCTTATTTTTTGTGTAATATTCCTTAATTAATTATTTATTTGCGTGATAGGCCGAATGAAAGGACTAGACCCACATTACATACCGTAACCCTAGGTACTGCACTACTGCGAGTACAATGGTTTGGGAAGTGTGGAAGTACTTGCCGAAGTGGATGCTGCACTTTGTCTGTAACTAACTTTCATTTGTCGAGAATTCTTTCGTTTAGTGAGCAGCAGTTTCCCAAATAATTAAAAAAATGTACCTTACTTACCGGATAGCTTCCACAATGTTCGCTCTGATTTGATCTGAAAAGAAGAGCGAAAGAAAAAGGATGGTTATTTGAAGCAAAATCTAACATGCATTAGTCGCTTATGGGGTGTTTACATCCGTGCGGATTTGCTAGCGCTAGTGAACTAGCCAACATGCACGAATTTCATTTGCTCCTGAAATCTTATGCTGGTAGACGCTGGTGCCCTGTTTACATTATGCTGGTGCACTTTTTTGCTAGCAGCTGGCTCATTAGCGCTAGTGAAATATCATAAATGTAAACAATTCATTAACGATGGTTTGGAACAGCCCCTAAATTCACAGTGCAAAGTGTTATCAAAAGCCTTAAGTCATTTGAAGTACAACAAAATGCTTTAAGCTTCTCTGAAGTTCTCTGATTTAATTTAAGGCTTCTAAAGGTTGTCTTTGATAGCCTGAACATTTCTTCTACTCGTTTTATGAAGTTTGAAATTTCTGAAGTTTTATGATTGTATGGTCTTTAACATTATTCGTGACTTCTTCACGGATGAGATTTGAACTTCTGCATGGACATGTGTTCCGTGCATACCTACTCGGGCACATATAAGCTTGCAGGTATGCGCGAAGCACCAGGGCGACAGTAAAAAATAATAACTTTTTGCACAGATGTCGAATCGATTTGCAGTCTTTAACGAAGTTGTTCTGTATAGTTTTCATAATCTAAGTCCCAGATTTGGTGAAAATTGAGCAATTATTGAAGTTTTGTCAAGCAAATGAAATCTGCTTTAAATCTCTCCCGCAATCCAGATCGTCATCGAATTCTTTCAAATTTGGCGCAGTTTTTGGGGATCCCAATACGAAACGAAATAGCTATGGGGAGCCGAAGGTTGTGATCCACCATATAAAGTTGACTCACCCTGCCGGCGCCGGTGGTGTAGTGGTAAGCGTGACTGCTTTCTAACACCCCAATGGGTCTGGGTTCAATCCCAGCCGAGGTCGGTGGGATTTTTCTGGGGCATAAAAATCTCTTGTCACGTCTTCCTTCGCAAGGGAAGTAAAGCTGTTGGTCCCGGCCCATGTGTGTTGAATGGGTGTGATATCCTACGCAGGTGTGGAAGCTGCCCTTCAATGGATGGCAATCGATGTCCGTCGGTGATTGGCACTAGATTGCGGAACAGAGACCGACGTTAAATAAAAGAATGAAGAAGTTGACTCACCCTAGAGTACACTGTACTTCTTAGCTTTTTCCTGTAGTACACTGAGGTTCCCTAAGGCACCCTGATGGTTATTGAATGTTTTCTATACTTTTGTGTAGTTTGCTGAACTTCATTGAAGTACCTGTGCTCAGTTTCTCTGATTTTATCCATAGATCGTATTAGCTTTTCGATCTCCGCAGAATCTTTTTAACGTTTCCTACACACAAACAATTATCGTTTATAAAATCGAAAAAAAAAAACGATTGGTAGTATTAAAAGTTTGTGTTGGTTCTTTTTGGTAGAAAGTCTATAGCATTCAAAACAAAAGTCAGGCAGTTGTCAATTCAAAAGTAACTCGTTCTTTACTTTTAATAGTAGAAACTTTCAAATCGAATTGTAGAACTGTTAGTATAAAAATCTACACATTTTGATTTTTTTGCCGATATGGGCACCACCGAGCAGCTCGGCATTTTATTTTGCTGGAAATTCAGCAAAAAGTATGTTTGTTAGCTGAGATCTCGGCAAAATTCCCGTTTGTTAGCTGAATCTTGGCAAGTTTTTCTCTGAGATCCAGCAAAATAAAATGCCGAGCTACTCGGTGGTGCCCATCTCGGCGAAAAAATCTAAGTGTGTATGATTTTTTAAATGGACTCCGGAAAGTTTAATTTAAAAGATGGTCATTTATATCGCAAGGATGAATGTTTTCATCTCGAATGTGAACTTTTTTTTAATAAAAAAAAATTATTTAATATATTTCAGTTTATTTATATTTTTGGTGATTACTGAAAGGGCACGGCATTGTGGAATCTTCCATGGGTAGCATTTTACGCAAATGATGCAGTTGGTCATGGTGATGCTGAGAGTAGCCTTCCTTTCCGGCAATACTGACGAGGCTGCTGAAGATCAAAACACTGCAGGCTATAGGTGAAATGGCATTCGGCCAAATTTTCCATAGTAATTTTTTTTTCGCCCCTCCCTAAATCGAAACCTGGCTACGCCCTTGGATCCTTCCACTCAATAGTGTCACCGTGGATGTCTCCATATGATTTTCCGTATCGTGCAGAAGAGAAACAAGCGCGCTGGCGGATGAAAATGTAGGAAACTTGAAGAAACTGCTGCACACTTGCTTTCGTTTTGTTTATTTTTTCTCATGTCCTATTTGGCGGGAAACGGAGGTTGTCAAAAACTTCGCAATGAATAGTTTTTTTTTACGGTTTTCCAACTTTTATTCTAAAAAATACACTTTTAAAATTACAAGCCCAAAGTGAAAGAAAGATTTCCACTTTATGACTTCTATGGTAAAAAGGGATCCATGAAGCTCTGTGAGAGATGCCAGATATTTTTCTATGCAATTCCGTAGACTTATTCAAATCTACGGATTTCTACGGATTTTTTTTTAGTCGAAGGTGATATTTTTTTTAATTCCAAGGTGATATTTTACGTTAAATGATAAATCGATGAAAGAAATTTTGAAAAATACTAGGGACAGCCCTCTGGGGTTGTACGCAATGGTAACGTCGAACTACGTGGTCTTATATGATAAATGTTATTTGTTAACTGCAGCAGGACTTGTGTTTTGTGTAGGAATAGGAATTTGAGCAGGGTTCTCTCTGTTTATACTCTTTAGTATGACTTTGATTACCCTGAAAAGAAGCTTTTGATATGAATTTTAGTTGGGACATGTTCAGAAATTTAACTCTTTTGGAAAATCTTGGTGGCCCTGAAAAGGGCCGATAGTAGTACAGGCATGAATACCATAATACTATTGCACCTGTAGTTTTTGGCTTACTTTCACTGATTGCTTCCCGGGGATCCTTGTTCAGCCATAGCAAGATGTGCGCGTGAGGACTTCCACGTTGCTGAAATTCAATCGTGTCAACCAGCTTGTTGAAGTAAACGCAGCACGTGACTGGATCATCATTCATCAGAGTTGCTTTTTGTAGTGCAGTCAATTCCTGGATAGGATCTGTTAAGTCATTGCCATTGTGTCCTTCTGACAATCGATGTAGGAGATTCAACAAATGGGGCCACTTCATCTCACTTGCACTGAGTGTGAGGAACATCGTAGGCTTTCCCAATTGTCGCATCATGGTGAACAAATTTCTCTTCCTTTGTTGCCAATACTGTACTGAATTCGGTATTGATTTGAGGAAGGATAGATTTCGCTCAATGCTCCATGAATAAGGCGGTTCTTAAGGTCCACGTGTAATGTTTGCGGTCGCCGTGCACTTAAAAGTACATTGCAAGCCTTCGGAAACTCTAAGCCGAAGAACTTTCATTGTCATATACAACAAATGTGGTTTGGCCACACGCCTGTCTTGAAGACGAGTTACACTGAATGCCATCATGAAATATGTCACCCGAACCCTTGGCTTGAATTTCTTTAGATGGCCGAAACGAATGGCAGAAAAAGCTATCTTTTCGCCGTGCTCGTCATATATTAAAGACAGAGGAACCCTGTTTTGCGCGGGAGCGATCTCCAGGCATTTGTTCTCATTCCAAAGAAGCGTTTCCTGTTGCCCAAGCAGCAATTCTGTCTCATTATCCACGGCAATGGTTTCCAGCTCAATTTGAGGATCCACTACAGGGGTTTCAAGACCATCTATGGCGATTTGATCAATTGTGATCCCGTAGCGGTGGTGGTACAGTGGTGTCGTAATCTAATAAGAAAGCCACGCTTTAACCGTAGTTTCCTTTATAAAGGCCTGACAAGTAGGACGACTTATGGATTACGTTGTTTTTGATGAACACGTTGAAGGCCTGATCATCACATCGAGCTGACGGGGAAGAGAGCGTCGTCTCTCTTACACAACGCAAACGGTAGAACAACATTCGAGCAAAAAGAAAATTATCAAATGACTATCATATGACATATGTGATTTCGTTCTAATTCCTCAATTTGGTGTAAATTAAACCATTTCTGATCAAAAAGGTTATTACTATGACATCGTTGCTTGCACAAGCACATCATCAGCAGCTCTTATTTTGAGAAAAACTAAAATACTTACATCCGTCATGGTCTTCGGCGGCAGTGTCGTATGACATTTTAGTTTGGTACTGTAATTTGAAAGCTTGTTTTGCAAGTGTCGGAAGCAAAGGCAGTTGATTATCACAGAAAATGTGTCGACTACGGTGACCGCTTACAAGACTGGTCTCGACATGACTTTTATTCGCCTTCACACGGCACCGTCGAAAACTGTTGTCTTCATGCAAAGATTGACTGTATATATGGGAACTTTCGACGGAGTGAAGAGATAGTACGAAGACCGCCATGTTTCACGCGGTTTTCACGAAAACGGTTGACAAGTTGCAGAGGTGTATTTTACTTTATGCTTCTTTCCCTTCAGAATCAGATTGTAAAATTTGATTCTGAAGGGAAACGTACACTGAAGAAAAAAATCCGTAGAAACTGTACCGAATTCCGTAGATTTTGACTACGGATCCGTATTTCCGCAAAAATTTGTAAAATCCGTAGATCTACGGAGATTTCCGTAGATCTGGCATCTCTGAATTGGGGGTTCTAGAAAAGTGGTGGTTAGAATTGGTAGATCTTAAGACAAGCATCGATCTTAGTGAATTGATTCATTTTCTTTTGAAAATAACCGATTCGCCGATATAATCAATCGATCTTTTTGAATCGATCTTTTGAATCGACTCATTTTTCAAAATGGCACAAAAATGTTTCAAATATAACGGATCATAGGAAAGTTGGTACAAATTAAGCCAAGTTCAGTCTAGAGTTAATATTACGTTACATAAGCTATCTTGTTATGACAATTCACCTATAATAGTCATTTAGTGTCATGATTGATATCATTTAGAAATAAATTGTGTAGTACGTACCCAACAAACAATTTTACCTG